AAAGTATGTTTAAAATATTCAAATGAAATGAAAATTTCATTTTAAACATACTCAATTTTTTCTCTTTTTAAAGAAGCAAGACAGTCCAGCTGCTCTGTTTGTATTGTTTCATGTTTTTCCAGATAACATGATTTTACAGGGCTTTAACAAGGAACCACCATGTGACCAGACTTAGTTTTGAGTCAGTTTGTCAAGAAATCATATAAGTGTTTAGTTTGGCTTATTAAATGGACAGCATTCTTCTCAGTAGTAGCAATTATGTTTTCAATGTAGCTGAAATCAGAAAGTATGTAACAAAAATGCTGACTTTTTTTGCCCATTGTCACAATGTTTGGGTCATAGTTTAAATAAACAAGCTCCTCTGTTTTATCACTTGTTCTGTAATGTAAAGTCTGTTAGTGTTTACTTTTCATAGTCAAGGGCTCTTTAAATTTTTTAATGTGTTCAGTATGGGAAACTTCAAATCTAGGTTGGCTTATTGATTTTTATATAGTTTGATTTTATGTGGAGTTTCTTCAATCCCTGTGCCTTGTCCCTTAAGTGTGTTTATTTCAGGTTCAGGTAAGATGTTCATGAAACTCACGGTGTAATAAACTGAAAAATAGGATACCGTAACAAACTGAAAATACAGATGCCAAAGCATCTATGAATAGATGTCTGTATGTGTACATACACATTTGCACACGCAAGAAAGCATCTGTTAGGAAAAAGTTAAATGCAATTATAGCCAATATTTTCATTGATATAAGTATTGAATCTGCTTGTGCTTTTGTTATTACCAAGTGCCTGTAATTGTTCTAGTTGACAACAAATTCCACATACTTTATATATTATCTTTTAAAGTTCTTCCTTAATTAAGGTTTTATACTGTTGTTTAGGACTCCCTAAAGTGAACATGGTAGTAATGTCAGAGTGATGGTTTTGGCCTGAGTGAGCAAGTTAAAAATGATCTTGTTTCAATTCATCTTATGAATATAGAAATGATCATATAAGAAACCCTGCTGCCTTGCATATATTGCTTGATGACATAACTGTTTGATTTCAGAAATGTATGTGGCTTGTGAACTCTAATACCATGGGCAGTAAAGCACTTGCCTTACCTTCAGTGAGGGTTTTTTTTTAGTCTGTGTTCTTATATAGCACAGCTGGGTGTGAAGTACATTATAAGGTGTTTGCTTTCTTCTAAAATGTTAGGTTTTGCCACAGCCAGGAAAAACACATCAGTATGTCTAATTTTATTGGTGACTTCAGTATGTTCATTCGGGGATTTCTAGGTATTGCTTGTGCTTTGAGGGTATTTTTTTATTGTAAGATACAGAGATCCCAGATCCTAATGCATGATTCACTTTGCAGTGTCAGAGAACAAATCTTGCAGGTAAGATGCTGTACTTCTTCAGTTTGTGCTGTAAATTCTGGATTTTACTCTTTTCAGAACAGTGGTGTGAATGTTTCTTTTATGACTGAAATTTTTAGGTGCTATATTACTGGAATTGTAGTGAATTTGTTCTTTTTCTTGTTTTTTCTTTCTTTTCCCTTCCCCTCTGCCAGAAGACTGCACTACAGAGATAGTTGTTTAATGTTTGCTTTTGCTGAGCCTAGTTCTGATTCATCATATTTACATGACTGACTGTAAGCCATCTGTTAGTTATGGTTTAACTTTCGAGTCTGTATGTAATTCGGTTTTATTAACAAAGTACAACCAACAGCATTACGGAGCTTTTCTCTTTTAATCTTAAAAGGAAAAAAATCACTATCTGAAAATGGAATCACAAAGAAGAGGAAAGGTGTCAGAAAGTCTACCATACCAGAATTTCAGGTAAATTATTTTAATTTTTGTTTTAAGCACTTGAAATCTGAATGTCTGTAAAATAGTCCTTTAGTTTTTGATAAAGACTTTGGAAATCCTAATTTCCTTCTTCTTATTTAAAATATTTAATCTGATAGTATTTTTAAAAATGCATTTCATCTGTTGGTAGAGAATGTTTTAGCACTTTTATTACATGCAGCTTACACACTGTTTCACAATGTTGTTTAGGATCCCAGATATATCTTATAGTATAAAACCTGTGAAAACTGGGAGTTGTTAATGAAATTTTTAAGGTAAATATAAATTTCTAGCATAGAATTACTTGGGTTTTGTATGAAGTGCAACGATGTGGTCCTTGAATTGCAATCTAGCCTCATTTACTGAAGGACTTAAAAAATAATTATAGGCAACTGTGCTGATCTGCTTGCAACTTTTATTCCTTATCAGCACATGACTTTTAGGCCAGAGAGCACAAAGTATTAATTATGATAATGTGGGTTTATGGTGATGTAATAGAAGTGTTACAGCACTTCAGTTCCAAGTTGCAATTTATGTATGCATTCATGCATACTTGGACTGAAGTTCTCCTTTGGCTATCTCTTTTTTTTTTTTTTTTTTTTT